AGAATGAGCGGTCGGTAAAGGCGATCAACGACGTGAAGGTTCGTTTAGCAAAAATGGCAACAGATGTCACCACGGAGAACGTGGAGGGGATCTTGAAGGAATTGAAGGAGCCGCTCACTGTGACACACACGGTCGCCCTTCCCGAGGTTAAGGCGAATTTGCCCAAGTGGGTGCCAAGCATCATGAAAGAGGTCACGCACCTGGAAGGAAATGGGACGTTGGTTCCGATTCCCCTCCCAGAAGCAAAGCGAATGCAAGATCGGGGAGAAATTACGCTGGTGCCGGCCAAGACGGTGCATACGGTCAAGCCTCCGGATGTGGCAGCGATCGCAGACCAGGCGGAGCAAGAGAGGGAGCACGTAACCCAGAAGAAGGGGGAAGAGGTCCTTGAGGGCAACGGAGACGCCGGATTGTTCAAAAGGAAGTCGAGGCTGGTGATCTGCGGGAACTACATCAAGGGCGAGACGGAGGTGTTCACGACGGCCGCCAGTGCGGAAAGCTTGAGGTGCGGATTAGCATTCGCTGCACAAAGAAACTGGGGGGCAGCAATCACAGACATCGCATCGGCGTTCACTCTAACCCCAATGTCGGAGTCCAGCGTGCGGTACGCCATAACGATCCCGAAGGTGATTGTGGATGCAGGGTGCGCCCCACCGAACACCGCATATCTGGTCGAGAGGCTCCTCTATGGCTTGAAGGAGGCGCCGAGACTATGGGGCAACTTTCGTGATCGCCGGATAAGAAGGGCCAGAATCCATGTGGGACAAAGAGAATGCAGGTTCGTCCAGATGGAAACGGATCCGGCGGTTTGGAGATTGGTTCCCATGGATGACGAGACAGAGACCATTGCGATGATGATCGTGTACGTCGACGATGTGATGTTCCTGGGCGGGAATGAGGAGATCATGAAGATGTACTCCTGGTTGACAAAGGGTGATGATGGAGAAGAAGGATGGAAGTGCTCAGACCTGGAGTGGGTGGGTCAGAGGCCAGTGAGATACCTCGGTATGGAGGTGCAAGGCCGAGTTCGCGATGGAAGGATCCAGTACCACATCAGCCAGGGTGGGTACATCGCCGACCTGATCCGGGAGTACGGCATGGAAACCGAAAAGACCGCGCAGGTGCCCGCAACAAAGGACCTCATCCTGCACGAAGAAGAGGGCGATCAGGAGGAGGGAGAAGCAGATGAGGAGCAAATTCGGGCGGCTCAAACAGCTGCCGGAGAGTTGTTGTGGTTGGCCACTCGAACAAGACCGGACATAAGCTTTGCCACGAGCTATGTCTGTGCAATGGCGACGCGGAACCCGACGGCTGCTCTTCGTTTGGCTCATCACGTGCGTCGCTACCTCCTCAACACGCCTGGAATGGGTTTGGTCTACAAAGGGTCGCAGCATGCGGTGGAGACTTTCTCTGACGCCAGCTTCGCGCCAGGAGGAGGAAAATCCTTCGGCTGCAGCGCTATATCGCTATTTGGGGGCTTTGTGGCATGGCGAATGACAAGGCAAGCTCTGATAGCGGAGTTGTACGAGTTGATCGCCGCGCATCAGCTTGGATTGGGTATCCAAGCATGGGCCACCGAGGTGCAGAGCGATGTATGCCAGGCCATAAAGGTCGATAACACTGCAGCTCTGGGGCTTGCAAGCACGGCCCCGGGGACGTGGAAAACACGTCACCTCCGCGTGAGAGCACGTTTCCTTCGCCAAGAAGTGTTGGCCCAGCGCGTGTCCTTACATCATGAGCCTGGAGAAGGACAGCCAGCAGACTTAGGTACCAAGCCGGTGCCGGCTCCTCGGTTGGTTGTGCTCCGTGATTTGTGGGGTATGGTACCTGCAGAGGCTTTCCTACAAGAAGGAGGCAATGAAGGGGCGCGAGTACAAACAATCTCGTCAAGACAAGAGGTGGTGAAGATCATGGCGCTGATGATTGCGATGATGTCAGTGCAAGGGGCACGGGCCGAAGAAGTGCTCAAGAGGCCAGTGGAGGTGGATGGAAGCGTGGAATTCTACGTATGCGTGGTCATCGGAGGAGTGGCGTTGCTCGGAGTGTGGGAGTTTGTGAAGGTGCTGGTTGCGTGGGTGTGGAGAGATCGAGAAGAAATGGCGATGAGAAGAACAAGAAGGCTGATGAAAATCAGAGATCAGGCCGCTCGTGCTCTACATCGTGAACTGGCAGAGCTGGAAGATGAAGGAGAGCAAAGGGATCCGCCTGGTGTCAGGGCTCAAGATCCAACAGCTGAGGTGCACCCCGCTTCTTCGTCTTCTACAACCCCGATGCCACAACAGCCCGATGGAGAAGAGGGCGTGACGGTGGCCCGAGCCGCGAGGGAAGGAATGGACTTCAGATGCCTCCAGACCCCATTCGTGATGTCGGAGCATGGGGACAGGATCCACGTTCGAGAAGAGTGCTATGGGCTGAGGCACGCGAACAAGGCCAAGTTGCGCAAGATCAAGTACTGTTCGTGCTGTGCTGAGAGCTACCCTTTGTACTATAGGACTCCCTTCGGCGACCCAAGGCTTGGGTAAGTACAGGACGCATCAAGGAGGACATTTTGTCTTCGACTCCAAAATGAGGAGGAGTGCAGATGCGTCAAGTTGATTCACAAGAAGGCCATGTAAAGAACAAGGTCCGATTGCCCGCCGCTGTACACACCCAAGGGTTGGGCTACGTAAGGACCTTGAGCCAGTGTGAGGAAAAACATGTATTTCAAAAAAAAAAAACAATGGCATGGAGCCATTCAAAGCAGCACATTGTATAGGTTGTGCAGATATGTTACTCGCCTAGAAGGCCAAGTGGAGTGAAAAATCGATACGCCATGGAAGCCTCAGATGCTGACTTTGCACAAGCCCTGAGTTCCGAGTTTGGTCCCAATGCCCAGCAGTTTAAGGTTGGGTGGTTTAGGGTTTAGGGCTTAGGGCTTAGGGCTAACGCTTAGGGCTCAGGGCTCAGGGCTTAGGGCTCAGGGCTTAGGGCTTAGGGCTTCGGGCTTAGGGCTTGAGGATGACGGTCCGTGGGTTCTGGGCTACAGCGGTCGAGCACTTCTGCGCTCAAGGGCCCAGGGTTGAACGCTTCCGTACTTCTTTTGAGGGCCGAGTTGCCCAAAATAGCTTCCACCCCCTCCACCCCCCCCCCGCCCCCGCCCCCCACGAAAGGTTTAGGGTTTAGGGTTTAGGGTTTAGGGTTTAGGGTTTAGGGTTTAGGGTTTAGGGTTTAGGGTTTAGGGTTTAGGGTTTAGGGTTTAGGGTTTAGGGTTTAGGGTTTAGGGTTTAGGGTTTAGGGTTTAGGGTTTAGGGTTTAGGTTTTAGGGTTTAGGTTGGTTTTGGGGTTTGGGGTTTAGGGTACGAAAGGGGCTGTAGCCAAGAACTCTAATCTGTCGGCTTTCAAGGTGCTTGGGGCTTTGGTAAACATGCCTACTTGGCACTTAATAACCACAACCCACTTAGAAGCCCCCTAAGTGCCCTGATCTGATTATAAGTACAGTTATAAGTTATAAGTACACTTACAACTGGTTGATAAGTACCATGAACCTCCAAGTAGAGTCTAGGAACAGGCCGCGCATGGACTCTCAGCAATGTACCCGCAGCAGACATGCCGGCGATCAACGAATCCATCAGGACTCAGGGTTTAGGGTTTAGGGTTTAGGGCTTTAGGGTTTAGGGTTTAGGGTTTAGGGTTTAGGGTTTAGGGTTTAGGGTTTAGGGTTTAGGGTTTAGGGTTTACCAACAAAACATGAACCCAGCATAACCTCCCCCATAGTTAGACCTAACCCTGGCCCCGAATTAAACACAAACACGAAGGCCCTATGCAAACCACCCCAGACCCCCAAACTCTAAACCCTCAACTCTAAAATCTAAAGCGCAAACCTACAAAGCCATGACAAACTGGCCTGCAAGCGGCGCAGCTCCGCCACCTGCCCGCGTCTGGGTGCCCTTGTGGTTTAATGGGGCTTATGAGGGAACCTAAACCCTAAGAAAGGGAATAAGGGCCTGTCAGGGTAATAGATGAGCTTCCTGCTACGATTGAGAACTTGGATTGGTGAGGCGTGCTGCTGGTTGGGGTTTAGGGGGTTTATAGGGTATGGGGTTTCGGGCGCAATCTTAAACCCCCCTGGGCTTGAGGGAGCTTATGGCCGCCATCCCGCAGCAAAAGGGTTTAGGGTTTAGGGTTTAGGGTTTAGGGTTTAGGGTGTAGGGTGTAGGGTTTAGGGTTTAGGGTTTAGGGTTTAGGGTTTAAAGGTCAGGACACGGGGGGTGTAGGGTTTGAGAGTCCAAGACTTTGGGAAGTTTTCTGAATTTGGGTCCCTAAAAAGGGACCCCCAATTTAGAAAACTACCCATTTACCTTCCAACGCTTAGAAGCTTTAGGAAAGTGCGTGACAGTGCGTGGGGGCCATTCTGTATCGGGTTGGTATGCAACAGCTCCCTAAGGCTCCCTAAGCTTCCCTGAGGTTCCCTAGGCCAAAACCCTAAACCCTAAACCCCCTCGTGAATCCCGCTCCCTTAAGTATCCTCAAAATTCTGTCAGATTGCTCTCGCAGGCCTCTGACTCTGCTAGCCGCCGAAAAACCCATGGCATACCCCGCGCCCCCGGAGGCTCTACTCTGGTGGCATCTTCAAAACCCTTTAACCCTAAACCCTAAACCGTAAACCCTCAAACCCATGGCCACCGAAAACTCCTCATCCTGGACCCTGAACCCTACACCAGTCCATCTGGCCGCCCTAACAACCCTGAAATTTTAACCCGCCCGACCTCGGCGGCTAGCTGTTGCTGCAGCTCCTGAAAGCCAGATTGAGGGCTGAGGGCTCGAGGGCTCAAGAATAGGGCTTCGGGTTTAGGGTTTCGGGTTTAGGGTTTAGAGTTTTAGGGTTGAGGCTCGGGTTCGGGGAGGACGTAGCTCTTCCGGGGTTTTATGTTGGATAGTTGTACGGTTCAAATGTCAAGGCTCGCGGCAAAAGCTTTTGCGTAGTAAAACCCTAAACCCTAAACCCTAAACCGCACATACACTCAGGTCTTGGTCTGTGCCGCCTTGCCGGTACTTGCCACGACTGAATAACTCAACTGTACGTCTCGACCATTGATCCCCTGTGACGGCCGAGATATTTTTGATGCTGTGGATAAACATTCAAGCTACGCTGCCCGGTGCCATCCGACAACAAAAGCCGTAGCATATGCTCCATGCATTGAAAACTCGACTCTTCAAGCCTATGAGGAGTTTGTCCTAAACCCTAAACCCTAAACCCGAAACCCTAAACCCTAAACCCTAAACCCCAAACCCCAAACCCCAAACCCCAAACCCCAATCCCCAAACCCCAAACCCTGTCCTGTGTATTCTTAAAGCCCACCCGTGCAGACTGAAACCAAAACCCGCAGACCCGGGCTTAGGGCCTAGGGCTTACGGTTTAGGGTGTAGGGTGTAGGGTTTAGGGTGTAGGGTTATAGGGTTTAGGGGAGCCGCTTTGGGCAAAACCAGGCGCCTCAACATTACAGAAGGGATCCTTCACACGAAGGGGGCTTGGGGCGTGCACGGTGCCAGTTACGATGCTAAGGGTCACAAAGACCCTCCCGACTTGGGGGTGCTTAGGGCTTTGTGGTTTGGGGTTATGGGGCTTTGGGGGTTGTAGGGTTTTGGGGTTACCCTGAACACTAATTATGAACCTCTCAAAATCCATCCAAAGCCAAGGCCTTCTGCTGCGTGCTGCTGCTCTCCTCCCACTCACTGAACGTGGCTGATGGTAGAAGTGCAGCTATGGGACCCTAAACCCTAAACCCTAAACCCTAAACCCCAAACCCTAAACCCTAAACCCTAAACCTGGTGCTTCGGTGCTTGGCGTTAAGGAACTTGCTCCCCAACGTTTGCACCCTCCCTGACCTCCCGAAATGACAAATGGGCCAAAACCCTGAAACTCCTAAGCTTCTGGGGATGGGATTAAGGGTTTAGGGCAACAGGGTTTTGGGTTTTGGGCTTAAGGCTTAGGACGTAGGATTTAGGATTCAGGATTCAGGGTATCAGGCTTAGGGTATCGGATTCAGAATTCGGGGTGATAGGGTTTTGGGTGATAGGGTCTGCGCTGACAGGGTCTAGGGTTTAGGGTTTAGGGTTTAGGGTTTAGGGTTTAGGGTTTAGGGTGTGGAAATAAACCCTAACCCTAAAGCCCAAACCCCTGGCGAGGATGTCTTGCAGGGTCGTGAATGCTCTAGCCCCAGAAGCGAAACCACGAAGCCTGGATGTGAAAGGCCTACGTAGTTAGTCAAGGTAAGGTTCTCCAGCGCCCATTAGGGTATGTTCAGGTAGGGTTTAGGGTTTAGGGTTTAGGGTTTAGGGTTTAGGGTTTAGGGTTTAGGGTTTAGGGTTTAGGGTTTAGGGTTTAGGGTTTAGGGTTTAGGGTTTAGGGTTTAGGGTTTAGGGTTTAGGGTTTAGGGTTTAGGGTTTAGGGTTTAGGGTTTAGGGTTTAGGGTTTAGGGTTTAGGGTTTAGGGTTTAGGGTTTAGGGTTTAGGGTTTAGGGTTTAGGGTTTAGGGTTTTAGGGTTTAGGGTTTAGGGTTTAGGGTTTAGGGTTTAGGGTTTAGGGTTTAGGGTTTAGGGTTTAGGGTTTAGGGTTTAGGGTTTAGGGTTTAGGGTTTAGGGTTTAGGGTTTAGGGTTTAGGGTTTAGGGTTTAGGTCGAGGGTTTAGGGTTTAGGGTTTGGGGTTTAGGGCTTAGGGCTTAGGGCTTAGGGCTCAGGGCTCAGGGCTTAGGGCTTAGGGTTTAGGGTTAGGGGTTTAGGGGTTACAGCGCCCTAACTACAGTCGACCGGCTTGGAAGGCTCAAGCCCAAACCCAGATTCACGAAAGCTAAAAACCTCCTCAACGAGGTCCTTGACAGATTGCATCCTGTAAACCCTAAACCCTATACCCTAAACCCTAAACCCCAAGCCCTAAACCCTAAACCCTAAACCCTAAGTCCTTGACAGACTGCAGCTTCTGCCGCAAGCTCAGCAGGGAGTTCGACTGCTTGGAGGCGGCTGCCTCGACCACCACCTCGGTGCTTAGTGGAAGTCTGTTTAGGGTTTAGGGTTTAGGGTTTAGGGTTTAGGGTTTAGGGTTTAGGGTTTAGGGTTTAGGGTTTAGGGTTAGGGTTTAGGGTTTAGGGTTTAGGGTTTAGGGTTTAGGGTTTAGGGTTTAGGGTTTAGGGTGCGCGAGCCCAGGAATGCTAAAGAGGGCGCTTCTTGGCTTTGGGGCCTAGAGATTTAGGGTTGAAGCTTCCAATATTTTAGGGTGGACTCTCTGATTCAGGGTTTGTGGCTGCGAGTTTGGGCTTGTAGTGTCACCGGGCACGTCTACGCCCCTTTCGACTGGCCTGGCATCAAGATTCGTCGGGCGTGGTCCCCCAGGGCAGCTCACACAGAGTTTGCAAGCCTCAGCATAAAACCCTAAACCCTAAACCCTAAACCCTAAACTCTAAACCCTAAACCCTAAACCCTAAACCCTAAACCCTTAACCCTGCATGCAACCGTCTTCCTGCTGCTGCCCCAGTGGTCAGTGCGGAGCCCGCAAGCATGAAGCGAAAGTCGCATCCGAAACTCCACATCTCTACTTCCAGCAGGACGCGCAGATGCCTGACATCGTCTTGCACAGCACCAGGAAGCATTTTCTGCTGCACAGGTTGAAGAAGGGATGTTTTTGAAGAAGGAACCGGGAGCGCGCTACTCTGAACCAGGAGTGTGCAATTTGCAGCTCGGAGTGCTCCCAAGGCAGATGAACAGGGGTTTGGGGTTTGGGGGCTTAGGGGTTTAGGGTTTAGGGTTTAGGCTTTAGGATTTAGGTTTTAGGGTTTAGGGTACATGGGGAACCTTGAACTCACGCCGCAAACCCAAAACCCAAAGCGACCCTTGTTGAGGTACCCATTTTCGAAACTGCGTCCTTCCTGATCTGGTCAGTTCTCTTAACTCTGTTCCCTTTTTGGGGGTCCGAATTATAAGGCGGCCCTTCTTATTTTGGGGTACACAAATAAGGACCATCATTTAGAGAACTGACCAAAATTACTCGATAAACACCCTAAATGGATGCTCAACCCGTGCGGGCGCGAGCGGCTCGCCTGCAGAAAAAGAACCTCCGATGATACTCCCTTCCTGGCAGCTTGACCTTCTGGGTCCTTTACGCCTGTTGACGATTGAGGGTTTAGGGCTAGGGCTTCAGGGGCTTACGGTTTAGGGTTTAGGGTTAGGGTTTAGGGTTTAGGGCTTAGGGTTTGGGGTTTAGGGTTTCGGGTTTAGGGTTTAGGGCTAGGCGGGTTTGTCTCCAGCTCTCTGAGGCCGAAGGCCAAGCGATCTTGCAGCGTCTGAAAGTTCGCTGCCAACTGGTCGAGAAGCGACCTGCGTCCGAAGCTTGGGTTTAGGGTTTAGGGTTTAGGGTTCAGGGTTTAGGGTTTAGGGTTTAGGGTTTAGGGTTTAAGGTTTAGGGTTTAGGTTTTAGGGTTTAGGGTTTAGGGTGTAGGGTTTCGGGTGTAGGGTTTAGGGTGTAGGGTGTAGGGTTTAGGGTTTAGGGCTTAGGGCTTAGGCTCAGGGCTTAGGGCTTAGGGCTTAGGGCTTAGGGTTTAGGGTTTAGCGTTTAGGGTTTAGGGTTTAGGGTCTAAGGTTTAGGGTTTAGGGTTTAGGGTGTAGGGTTTAGGGTTTAGGGTTTAGGGTTTAGGTTTAGGGTTTAGGAGGGTTTAGGGTCTGTAAACTTCTCCGGACTTCTTGGAGGTTCCTCGCACTTATGAACCCGGCTATAACTGTACGTAGGCCCCCTTACAAGCTCCTAAGTGCCCTAATATGGGTACAGGTGGGTTATCACTCCCGAAACCCGTAACCCTAAACCCTACCTATAATACCCTACAAACCCTATAATACCCCATAAACCTTACACACCCTCAAAGCCCTATGAATCAACACCCAAAAAACCCATTGCTATCAGCCCTATAAACCCTGGAAACCCTATAATACACCATAATGCCCTATAAACCTTAAACCCTAATCTCTAAACCCTTAAAACCCTAAACCATAAAGCCCACCCTACCAACCAACTCACAGCGGCCTCTGGGAGCGCAGCTCCTTCTCGTTGGTGGCGGCCGCCTCCCCCACCTCTTGTCCCAGGAGGGGGTGGGTTTTCTTTTTTAGGGTTTAGGACTTAGGGCTTAGGGCTCAGGGCTTAGGGTTCAGAAGCGCCTGGGAGGGCGACGTTTTACTAGGAGGTTCATGGTACTTACAACCCAGTCATAACTGTGCTAAGAACCCACTTATTAAGTGCCCTAACATGGTTATAGTTGGGGTTGCCTTCTGCGTAGGCTGGACCTTTCCCATTTTCTGCATCGGACTCATCCTCAGACTGAGCAAAGAGCCAGCCGCTGTAGATGTTCGGATCCAGATCTTCTTCATCTGGATCGCAAATAGAAGGCTGTCGCCTGTTCTTCCGCCACCTGCAGTTCGTCTACCTCAGCATCCTCATCATCGCCGCGCGGCATTCCTGCGTGCTCAGCTTGTGGTTCCACGCCCTCCTCAAGCCAGCGGTCCAGAACCTCCGGCAAGCTGTCGGGTGGCTGGATGATGTCTCCTTCCAGCAGCTTGAGGGCATACTATGGCCCGTGGCCTGTCCGAATGCGCAGGTCTTGGGCATTGCTTGTCATGTCAATTGTGCCAGCCATGCAATGCTTTCTTCAGCCGGCCTTTTCACCGGTCTGCCCACGACTTGAGCTTTCGCTGGTTTTGCTTGTGCAGCACAAGCGTGCGCTGTGATGCCCCCTGCCAGGCTTCAAAAGCAAGCTTCTGCTTCGGGGCTAGATTGTCATGGCCCCGATCCCTCCCTGTCTGCAGCCCGATCAGCCCCAAACCTTATCTTCTCTGCTCAAAACGCAGGTGGCCTTGTCGACGCTCTGTCCCAGGTGGGGGGGAAGTCTTGAGCCCGTCGGCCTTGCAAATGCACCAGGCGCTCACTTTCTCGCCTTCAAGCGGCTGGGCTTCTGCCTGCTCCACCAGCGCCGTCGAGGCCGAAAGCTCCAGGGCAGGCAGGGAATCTAGCCGGAGAATGGAGGCCATTTGGCCTTTGGTGATTTGCGTGGTTTTCTTTTGAGCTCTAGGAGTTGATAGATGGCTGATGGGTGCGATGGCGGGCTCCTAGAAAAAGAGGCGAGTACAGTAGCTGCGCCCACACTAAGTTAGGGCTTATAGGGTTTAGGGATTTGGGGTTTAGGGTTTGGGATTGAGGGTTCAGGAATTTAGGAGCACAAAACACGTCCCTCCCGAAGGCTTGTAGGGTTAGGGCTCAGGGTCTCTGGTTAAAGGTTTCCAATAGAAGCTTTGGACAGAGTACAACTTCGCAAAGACTTGTCTTCTTTTTTTATTCTAATTTTATTATTATTCTTATTATTATATATATATATATATATATATATTTGTTGTTATTATGGTTATATATATATATATATATGTGTTTTTTTTTTGGGGGGGGGGGGTGCCCCTAAACCCTCAGGGTTTCAGGGGGTTCAGGGCTTCAGGGAGTTAGGGTTTCAGGTTTGAGGGTTTCGTGGTTTTAGGGTTTCAGGTTGGGATGCTCCCCTTATACTAGCAGTCCTTAAAAGGGGTTATAATAGAGGGTGCTAGTAAGGACTGTTAGTATAGGAGGGAACATCCCAAGTTTTTTGGTTTCAGGGTTTTAGGGGTTAAGGCCTCTGGGATAATCCCCCTGAAACCCATACAGCAAGAGTCTCCTTCAGACTAAACGGCTTTGCTGCCACTATCGCGTATGGGGCCTTCGCCTACGGGTTTCGGGTGTAGGGTAGAGGTGTCGGCCTGGGTTTGAGTTTTATTGGGCCCATGGGCATTTCATTCCATGAGCCCTGAGCGCTTGCCCTGCCCGAGCAGGCCACAACCCCGAAAAAGAAGAAACGCCAAGACCACAAGAAACCTGAAACAAGACCTTAGTTCATTTTCTAGCCTTTTGCACAACTTAATAATACTGTTGAACCAAGAGTGATGATTGGCGCATTGGTTTCCTTGGCCAAAAGCCCCTTTCATTACATTATTTTAGTGGGCAAATTAAAACAAGCTAACTTTATTTGGTGTTGGGGCATTCACTCAGTTCATGCATTCACTCACTTGATTCGTTGATATATTCACTTCGTTCATGCTTTTATTAATTTTCATGTGTACGCCCGCGGTAAACGTAATCAACATATAGTACTTTTCATGGAACTTTTAATATTCGTGGGGTTCACGTGCGCCCCTACATTCTCTTCCTGGGCGCCATAAAACTTTTCACTTTTAGCCCCTTGATAATAGTAAAACAGATTGCGCGAAAACTTTGCTTGTTTTTTGCCCAGGCTGGTGCGGAAACAGCTGCACGCGAAATCAGATGTAGAAAGACAACCGGCGCACGCTGAGACAGATGGGGTAAGACAGCCAACGCACGCGGAAACAGATGTAGACAGACAACCTGCGCACGTGGAAACAGATGTGGAAAGACAACCTGCGCACCCGGAAACAGAAGTGGAAAGACAACCTAACCTCTGCTATATGTGGAAGATGCGCGGCCGAGCCTGTTGTGTCCAAACTGTTTCACAAACTAAGCTGTAATTTCCAGACCCAAACGTTTCGACTTGTTGCAAACTTTCCGCAGATTTCCTCCTGAGTTTCCGCAGATTCACCGCAAACTTTCCGCAGATTCTCCACAAACTTTCCGCAGAGTTTCGACAGAGTTTCCGCACATTTTCTGCCAAGTCTCCGCACAGTTTCCGCAATCTTTCCACAAAGTTTCCGCAGATTTCCCACCATGTTTCCGCAGCTTGTCTGCAAGGATTTTTGCAAATCGTCCACCATCTTTCCGCAAAGTGCCCGCAATCTTCCACAAAGCTTCCACAACCTTCCGCAACTCCGCAAAATTTTACATCACATAGTTTCCGCATATATTCCACAACAAACCCACAACCATTTCGCAGAGTTTCCGCAGCTGGCCCACCTAATCTCTGCATACCTTCCACACCTATTCCATGCTGTTCAACGAGCTGTCCACAATGTTCCTACGAGGTTTAACGGGCTTGAACTCTACATACAACAAAGTATATAGCTCAGCAAGTCCCGACACTCTGCTTCTACCACAATACCACATTTAATCGACTTAAACTGCCCAAAGAGCCCAATACCCCTTAATTAAGGAATATACCGTAAATTATATAGAAATGAGGCAACCCGATCGGCCTGGGCAGAAGACAGGAACACTAACCGACGAAACCCAAAGCAAACGAGAAAAAAGAAAAGAGCAAACAAGTTTTCTGCTTGGCCAGCTTTGCCACTGAAGCCCCACACCTGAGAACCAGACTATGTGGCAAAGGGGTTGTCGGATTGCCACAACACAAAAAAGTAAAAAAGTGTGTGTGTGTGTGTGTGTGTGCGTGTGTGTGGAAAAACGGCTTCTGGTGATCTATAAACCTGCCCTACATGCCCTGGCGTTTCCCAAGTTTAGTGTGTCCCTGAAAACCTGTTTGGGGAACCCCCCCTAAACCCTAAACCCAAAAACCCTAAACCCTAAACCCTAAACCCTAAACCCTAAACCCTAAACCCTAAACCCTAAACCCTAAACCCTAAACCCTAAACCCTAAACCCTAAACCCTAGCGCGTGCCTTCTCCAACCGGTCGCGCAAATCTGCTACGCTGGCCCGCTGGTCTTGCCTCGGAACAGGGCAGGAGGACTTTGGGGCGCAGCGGACGACACTAAGCCTTAAACTACGAATAGTAGTTTGCTTAAGAACCCCCAAACAAGATTAAACAATAATCCAATAATACCCTTACAAGGAAGAAGACTTTCTATTAGTTTTGTTTGGGTGTTCTTAAGCAATTCGTAGAAAGCCGCGAATGCTTTGAAGGGCTTCCTCGGAAGCATTCCATTGTCCAAGGAAGTCTCTTCATTGTAGGGTGCCACAAGCCTCCCCTCCCCCCGCCCCGTACTCTTCACGTGAAGTTTGGGAAGCCTACCCCAAACCCCCGAAACCCCAAACCCCAAACCCCAAAACCCAAACCCCAAACCCCAAACCCCAAACCCCAAACCCCAAACCCCAAACCCCAAAACCCAAACCCCAAACCCCAAACCCCAAACCCCAAACCCCAAACCCCAAACCCCAAACCCCAAACCCCAAACCCTAAACCCTAAACCCAAACCCTAAGCCATAAACGCTAAACCCCTAAACCCTAAACTACTCCGTCGAAGGAGCTGCAACGCTTCGCCATCTCGCCGCCAGGTTTGGAGCATCCTCGGGGAGGAGAAACACGGAGGACCCAAAAGGTTTTTTTTTTTTGTTGGGGGGGGGGGGGTTAGGGTTGAGAGTTTAGGGTTTGGGGTTTGGGGTCTAGCAACTCGCCGACTCAAAACTCACGTTGAGGGTTCAGATTGACCTTGCAGGGTTCAGGAATGAGTGTTTGGAGTCTACTTTAGGATAGGGGGGATCGAGCTTTGAGGTTCAGGGCTTGGAACCCTAAACCCTAAACCCTAAACCCTAAGCCCTAAGCCCTTAAAACCCTAACCCCGAAACCCCTAAAACCTTAAACCCAAGCTGCAGTTGAGGTTTACGGCTTTGGAGGTTAGGGTTTCGGAGTTTGGGGGTCCTCGCTTTTGGGCCTCCACTGCGTCTGCACATGATGGCAGGCTGAGGGTGAGATTCGGGCTTTGGGTTTCGGGTGGGAGTGGGGAGCCTCCGCTCTCTCACTTATGTAAAGCAACTTCTGACTTGGGGTTTAGGGTTTAGGGTTTAGGGTTTAGGGTTTAGGGTTTAGGGTTTAGGGTTTAGGGTTTAGGGTAGTGCTTAGGGTTTTGCAAGGCTTCCAAACGGGGTCTGCAAGCGTATTCACGGAGGTTTTACCAGGGGATTGAAAGCCCCTAGATGCCACCTTAGCCTTGAAACCACCTCCGCGAAGTCCGTCAACCTCCGAGAAATGGTTTGGGTTGTATGGGTTTAGGGTTTAGGGTTTAGGGTTTAGGGCTTAGGGTTTAGGGCTTAGGGGTTAGGGTTTAGGGTTTAGGGCTTAGGGCTCTCCGTGGCTCTCCTCCTCGTTCCCGGGTTGTTAGCCCTAAACCCTAAACCCTAAACCCTAAACTCTCAACCCTAAACCCTAAACCCTAAACCCAAAACGCTAAACCCTAAACCCTAAACCCTGAACCCTGAACCCTGAAACCCCCCCCCCCCCGCTTTGAAACTTCTGCCGAGGGTCTCTTCCGAAGCATTCAGGTGCTGGCGCGCGTCGCTCAGCAGCGCCTGAAGGTCTTTTTGGGCCGCTGGGCTTAAGGGCTTCGGGGTCTGCCCGGTCTCGGGTTGTAGGGTTCAGGGTTTAGGGTTTAGGGTTTTTTGTTGCACTTTGGGCTAGTTCGCGTCCTAGGTGCTCGAGGGAGCTTCGGGTTTAGGGTTGAGGGTTTGGGGTTCAGGGTTTTGGGTTTAGGGTTGAGGGTTTAGGGTTTAGGGTGTAGGGTGTAGGGTGTAGGGTGTAGGGTGTAGGGTGTAGGGTGTAGGGTTTAGGGTTTAGGGTTGTGGTATGGGCGCTTTTGGGTTTGCGGCCTTAGGGCTTTATGCAGATTAGGGTGCAGGGTTCCTAAACCCTAACCCTAAACCCTAAACCCTAAACCCTAAACCCTAAACTCTAAACCCTAAACCCTAAACCCTAAAACTAAACCCTTTTTGAAACGGGTTGAGGCATCTCGGGATTGGGATTTCGTCTTGGCCCAGAGCCTTCGAGTAGGATTGGCCACCAGCAGCCTGGTATGATGGGAGTACACCCTCGAGCCTAAACCCTAAACCCTAAACCCTGAAACACACCCTAAACCCTAAACCCTACAAGGGTGGGGAGGAGGAGACATCAGGTTCAGAGAGAAGTTCAGGGGTTCGGCGCTGAAGCCAAAGGGCGCGGCCTTAAACTCCAAACCCCTAAACCCTCCGCCCCAAACGGCCTGACACTCACCTTCGCAGCGCCCGAGGCGCGAATCGAGTTGCCCACTCCACTTCCGCTGCTCCTGGAAAGGTGTTTTTAGGGGGTTTAGGGTTTAGGGTTCAGGGTTTAGGGTTTAGGGTTTAAGGTTTAGGGTTTAGGATTTAGGGTTGGGGTGTATACAGATATAGATCTCATTTTATCTCAAGGTATACTAACAGATAACGCTGATAGACAAGTATAGCTGCATCAAACAGATTATCGACTAATTACACATATTTTCCTATACTTGTACAGTTCCTACCTTGTAAAACTGTGATAGATAAGTATAACTGTATCAAACAGATTATATACTACTCTTGATATTTATACTTGTACAGTTCCTACTTTGTAAAAGCGTTAGGCTTTAGGGTTGAGGAGGACATGGTTCAAGAGTACATGGGATAGCTTGGCAGGGCTGGAAGTATAGCCAATTCTATCGATAGCTACCCCACTTATCATGCCAGTTGAAACTACCTTAAGGTAGGGTTTAGGTTTGAGGGACTTCCTCACTGGCATTCAACACAACTATAGAGTTATAAGTAGGCTTCTTGTAACCCCAATTACAACTCGTAGACCCCTTAAGCCTCCAAGTACACGTCTAGTGCCGCGTAGCTACCTTCACCTTCGGCACAACCAACCACTACGCCTGCACGTCAAACTCATGTCAGCCTCAGACGTCTTTCCGGCCCCTGAACCCCAAAGATCTTAATCCCCAAGATCTTAATCCCCAAGATGAAACCCCTCAAGCCCTACTGAAATCATAAACCCTAAACCTCAAACCCTAAACCCTGAACCGTAAACCCTGTAGACTACAAGCCCGAACCCCCCCCCGTCCTGCTCCTGGAGAGCCTCCACCTCTCACTTTGGGTTCAGGGTTCAGGGTTCAGGGTTCAGGGTTCAGGGTTCAGGGCTCAGGGCTCAGGGTTCAGGGTTCAGGGTTTAGGGTTTAGGGTTTAGGGTTTAGGGTTTAAGGCTCAGGGTTTAGGGTTTAAGGTTCCGGGTTTAGGGTCTAGGGTTTAGTTTTTAGGATTAGGGTTCAGGGTTTAGGGTTTAGGGTTGCGGCTTTAGGGTGCAGGGTTCAGGGAGTTTGGGGTTCAGAGAGCTTGTCCGGGGATGGCTAGCTTTGAGTTTAGGGGTCAAGTTGCGAGCGCCCTGAACTGAAGCGTAAATCGCAAGAGAGTTTCAGGTTCTGGAGGAGTTGGACTTATAGGGCTCTCTTAAGGCCTAACCCTAAACCCCAAACCCTACACCCTACACCCTAAGGGTTTTGTAGGATTTAACTGGGGCTTAAAAGCCTCTAGGCCTGCAGGATCGACGTATCTCTTCTTGCCGATTCTAGCCCACCACAGAACCCCGCTTCATTAGAACCATATTATGGCACTTCAAGGGCTTGTAAGTGGGCAATTAAGTGCAGTGACAATTGGGTTCTTAAGTACCCTGAACCTCCAAGAAAAAACCTCCTGCTCAGCAAGTCCGCAGAGTTTGGGAGTTCAGGACTCGGGCAAGGTTTCGGGGTGGGCTTTGATACCATCAGAACTTTGGGGTTTAGGGTTTAGGGTAACCCTAAACACCAAACCCTAAACCACCGAAACTCACAGGCCAAAGATGGATTGGCCTTCGCAAGCGCCTTAGCCGCCAGGCCATCGCAGTGCGCGTGCGCCTCGCGCAGCTGCTCCTGGCAGAAAGTCCTAACCCTAAACCCAAAAAATATTTAGGGTTTCGGGTTTCAAAATAAGTCAGTCCACTCTGCTATCCCTGGAAACACACATGTGGTGTGATGTGTATATAACACATGTTACGAGAAGCACCTCGGCTGGAAATGCTCTTCGCCTATACCGCGACACTGCCACCGTTTCAGGCTCTGCAGTACATCACAATGCACCCAGACTCGAATGAAAATGCTCTCAAGCATCCGCTCCACGCTGCTCTGCACTGGCTGTCTTCTGCTTCTTCTTCGGGTTCTCCTCATCGAACTTTGGGCCTGC